GGTTTCTATAGCTGTCCCTGCAGCTCAAGGCGACTTGAAATTTGCATTTATGGGGGTTCCGAGTTCCAAGGTGCAAAATAAAACGAGGAAATTATGGAAATTTATTGCACACATGATATATTGAGAGCCAGTGGCCTTTTATTTTGTGTTGATTGCTCACTGAATGCTCTTCAGAGGGGATACAGACATCAGCTCCACTTCTTTGCTTTGATATGTTTCCTAGTCATCCTGGTACCTTCGTTTTTACCTTCTGTATGTTGTGACACATTGCTTTGAGTGTGTTTACTAGAGAGTGGCTGTTTGCACAGTGTTAAACATCTCTTCTCTGCAGCAGAGAGCTCTTTGGGGTGAACTCTGACACCAACACGTTGAGCTACCCCATCATAAGAGCTGTTGTGAAGATATTCTGTGAATTTATCTGGACATTCTCTGTTGAAACTAATTGCCTCAGGCTGCCATCAATTTTCAGTTGCACACACAGATGCTTTTGCACTGCGCTAGGAATTGCATCAGTTTTAGTCAATCTGGGCCTCAGTGTGAAGTAAAGACTGATGCACGACAGGCTCTAATGTGAAGCACTACAGTAGCTGGTAATTTTCTTCAAGCCTTTTTTTTCTCACTTTAATCACCAGGAAACATTTGACAAGATTCTCACGGTGGCCCCTCTCGTTACTGCCTGTTGTTAGAATCATTGGCTGAAATCTAAATGAGCTCAAGCCCATTTTTAAAGGTTAGCATCCAGCTGCAGGAAGTAATGCAGCACTGATCCAGTGCTGTGTTTATATCACGCTGCAGTTAGTTCCATATACTATGGTCTAACACAATGTCTAATCATAACTGTGAATGCAGTCATTGACTTTTTGTTCTTTCACACTCTGTTTTTCCCTGTTTGTGCATGTAGATATCCGTGACCGCAGGAAGAAGCCGGTGATGCTGTTTATTCACGGCGGCTCCTACATGGAAGGCACAGGAAACATGTTTGATGCCAGCGTCCTCGCCGCCTACGGCAACGTGATCGTGGTAACCATGAACTACAGGCTCGGCGTGCTCGGTGAGTGGCCCTCATGACTTTTTCATGCTAACATATTTGCACCAACAAATAGATTAGATTTATATTCCATCTCTCTCCAAACGCTGAGCTAAAAGAACATTTCTTCTTTTCTCTAAACGGAGTCGATGATGGGTGACATGAATAGAACCCATCATTGTAATGACAACCAGTCCAGGGCCTGATCGTTACAGCTCGCTTACTTATAGATTTCCCCTCACTGTCTAAACACCGATTGTGTAATTCTTTAATTTTCTTTGAATACTGATGGCCTTTTTTGTTTGTTATGTTTTTGTTTTTTACAAAACTTTTGCATTGTAAACCCTTTCTTGGAAACAGGGGGAGCTGAGATGAAGACACTAGCCAGACTGTTTCAGCTGAAACACAACAGAAAGGAAGTTTGGCTCGTCTTTACCCAGTGTGCAGTGTGAATAAAAAGAAATAAAAAATGTTGCAATTCAAGCTTAGTTTCCATGGTATCCCTTGGTGATGGTGCCAGGATAGATCACAATAATTTGGTAAAGTTGTGGATGAATCTGGTATCTAGAAAAATACAAGTATTGTGGTGGAGCCTGATACAATGGGACTGGAAGGATCAAAGTATAAAAATGTGCAAAGACTCATTGAGTGTTTATGGTTAAATGCTGAAGTCTAAACCAGGTTGAATCAGCTGCACATATTTCTATGAGGACTGTCATTTATAAAGATGTGCACAGTTTTATCCATCCATCCACTCGCTTCCACTTATCCTTTTCAGAGTCGCAGGAGCTTATCCCAGCTGTCATAGGGCGAGAGGCGGGGTACACCCTGGACAGGTCGCCAGTCTGTCAAAGGGCTAAGACACAGAGACAGACAACCATTCGCTCTCACATTCACACCTATGGGCAATTTAGATTGATTCGTTAACCTATCCCCACTAACTGCATGTCTTTGGACTGTGGGAGGAAGCCGGAGTACCCAGAGGGAACCCACATAAGAACATGCAAACTCCACACAGAAAGACCCCGGCCTAGTGGTGGAATTGAATTCAGGACCTTCTTGCTGTGCGGCAACATTGCTAACCACCGTCCCACCGTGCCGAGAATAAGTAGAATGAAGAGCAGGTAGAAGCGAAGGTAGATATGGTTTTGCAATGTATTAATCAGAAGAATTTTACTTTCAAAAATGTGGTCGAAGACATATATGGAGCCATAATCAGCAGTGACTTATTTTAAGTTGGGAGGAATGAAGCACATGGCTTCATATGCACTAAATTCCCCCAAAAATAAAAAAAAAAATCGTACCTTAAATCTTGTCTAGATTTGTCTACATAATTGTTTCCCAACCACTGTGGATAGGTGTGCCATGAGAAATAATCAGGTGTGCCGTGGAAGATTATCTGGTTCAACCTGATTAGTAACGGGCAGATTGATTACTTTCTCTTCCACTAGAGGGCAGTACAACTACCTGCTCTAATTAAATGGGTTGCTAACTGCCAATAAAACAGAAGAAGACGAAGAAGAAATGACATAATAGTCATGCTGTGAGTGAGACGACAAAGTGTGTAATAAATAAATAGATAAATATTTGAAAAGAAACCGTAGTCAATCTGACCTGGATCCTGGAGAAAATTCCGACCCAGATGAAGCCCTAGCATGAGTAGTGGTCAAAAGAAAGCAAAAAAAGTACACTGGGGACAAACCAAACCAATTCCACTGTGCCTGGTGCGCAGGGGGAAAGTGATCAATATCCTTTTTGTGACATTTTTGTTTGGTGGTGTGCTGTGTGATTTTTCTAAAGTGAAATATGTGCCGTGGCTCCAAAAGGTTGGGAAACACTGGCTTACATAGAGTTAAAGTTAAAGTGCTGCAAAAAACTGTTCACACCCTTCCTGACCTCTTTCTTTCTTTTTTTTCTTTTCTTTTCTTTTTTTTTGCTTATTTATTATCCTTGCGGCACTATGTTAATAAGTAATTGCCCTCTAAACCTAATAACTGGTTGTGCCATCCTTGGCATCAACAGCTGCAATTAAGTATTTGTGATAACCAGCAGTGAATCTTTCACATTGCTCTGGAGGAAATTTGGCCCACTCTTTTTTGCAGAATTGTTATAATTCAGACTAAATTGTTTTCGAGTATTAACAGACTCCTTAAGGTGATACCAAAGCATCTTATTTTGTTTGGTTTCTTTTTGAGCTATTCAGAGGTGGACTTGGATAACCCAAATGCAACCAACACCTTCAGAGCACAATGATGGTTGGACATTGTCCTTCAGAATTTCCTGATACAGAGCAGAATTCATGTTTCCCTCAATTATGGCAAGTCTAACAGGTCCCGAGGCAACAAAACAGCCCAAGACCGTTACACTACCACCACGTTTGACTGCTGGTGTGATTCTTGTAGAATCATGAACTCTGAACTTGACTGAGGCAAGTGAAGCCTGCAGGTCTTTAAATATTGTTCTGTGTTATTTTGTGACCTGATGAGTCATCAGTAGACTCTTGGAGGTATCTTGGTAGGCCAGTCACTTCAACACTGGAGTCCTAAAGCCTTAGAAATGGCTCTTTTCAGACTGATAATAAAAGTATGTCAGCTTTTTCATTATGTGGAGGCATGATGTGTTGCTTTGTGAGATCTTTTAGCTTACTTGCTTAATCCTCATACTCTTGTCACCATACATCCTGTTTTTTTATTTGGCTACTGAGTCCTGCATTGCCAGGAAGTCCATTAAACGTAGGAGTGGAAGAAGAGAACAAGCATGCAAATCATATACAGATGTGGCATTTTTACTGACGTGGAAATGCACCTCACAATTCCTCATTTTAACTGCACGCCCTCGCCCAGAACCTCCAACCTTCAGGTGACTGTTTTGCAGATGTATAATTCATTCCACAGAGAGTAGGGATTGTAAAAAAAAAAAAAAAAAAACCTTTGCAGAGTATTGTGGTAGGGGAAGGTTTGGTTATGATGCACCTTTGAGCTGTTAGTACCAGCAGCAGCACTGAGGGAAAGTGAGGGATTTGGAAAGTGGTTAAAGTGGCTTTACAGGCCCGGTGTAGCACGCTTTAACCTGTCTGCTCAGTTCACTGTGAGATCTGCCAGCACACTATTGTCTGCCACCTCAGCTCTCCAGCACGAGCGCGTCATCCCTTTTTTGAAAATACACTCGACTTCTCCTCTTTGTTACCGCACTCTGTCTCGCTCCACTGAGACCAAGTAATTTAGCTTGGAGAGGAGGAACATGCCTCTAAGGAGGCAGGTGCTAACTAAAGGAAACTAAGTGCTTTAGATATTTCATTAGCCGAAGAGAGAGCGGGCTCCTGGAAGCTGTTTTAAAATAGGCAGCCTGGCTTTGATTTGTTTTGTTTCTTTCTTAAAGGATGTTGCTGTGTTGTTTTTGGAGCATTTAAACCGCCTTTACTGCGGTGACACATTTTCATTTGCATGCAATTACCTAAAGTGTTTGCTTTTCAGTGCTTCCCTATTGAATTCATCAGCATTTTTTGCTACAGTGAATAACAGAATGCAATATGAAATATCTATTAAAGGACTGTTAAAAGGCCTTTTTGTCGCTTTTGTTATTGTTGATTGCTGCTATCTATAAAAGTGTAATTCTTCTCATCAAGTTAATTGTCACAGAAATGTGCTGGTAACGAGTTTGTTACTTTGTTAAGAGTGACAGTTTTGGCCAAAATCTAGCCGCTGTGGTTTAGAGTCAGCGCTAGTGTCATTCTCCTTCTAAAAGTGCTGCTACCAGGCTTGTGGAGCTGTAATTAGCTCTAATTAGCTTGCAGGTGAAGTGGTGCTCATTAGCAGCCGGCACACACTTGTTATCATACAGAATAATGTGAATACTACTGCAATG